GCTCGGAAACCAGATTACACAGCGGAGAAGGTACGGTGTGATTCGAAATGGTCGGGGATCTGTTTGTTAACATGGCTTTCAAATACTTTCGAAAGGCAGGACAGGATGGATATAGGTCTGTAACAGTTTGGATCTAGAGTGTCACCCCCTTTGAAGAGGGGGATGACCGCGGCAGCTTTTCAATCTCTTGGGATCTCAGACGATACGAAAGAGAGGTTGAACAGGCTAGTAATAGGGGTTGCGACAATTTTGGCTGCTAATTTTAGAAAGAAAGGGTCCAGATTGTCTAGCCCAGATGATTTGTAGGGGTCCAGATTTAGCAGCTCTTTCAGGACATCAGCTATCTGAATTTGGGTGAAGGAGAAGCGGGGGGGGGCATGGGCAAGTTGCAGTGGAGGGTGCAGAGCTGGTGGCCGGGGTAGGGGTAGCCAGGTGGAAAGCATGGCCAGCCTTAGCAAAATGCTTGTTGAAATTCTTGATTATTGTAGATTTATCGGTGGTGACAGTGTTTCCTAGCCTCAGTGCAGTGGGTAGCTGGGAGGAGGTGCTCTTATTTTCCATGGACTTTATAGTGTCCCAAAACATTTTGGAGTTAGTGCTACAGGATGCAAATTTCTGTTTGAAAAAGCTAGCCTTTGCTTTCCTAACTGATTGTGTATATTGGTTCCTGACTTCCCTGAAAAGTTGCATATCGCTGGGGCTGTTCGATGCTAATGCAGTACGCCACAGGATGTTTTTGTGCTGGTCAAGGGCAGTCAAGTCTGGGGTGAACCAGGAGCTATATCTGTTCTTAGTTCTGAATTATTTGAACGGGGCATGCTTATTTAAGATGGAGAGGAAAGCACTTTTGAAGAACATCCAGGCATCCTCTACTGACGGAATGAGGTCAATATCCATCCAGGATACCTGGGCCAGGTCAATTAGAAAGGCCTGCTCGCTGAAGTGTTTTAGGGAGCGTTTGATAGTGATGAGGGGTGGTTGTTTGACCGCGGACCCATTACGGACGCAGGCAATGAGGCTGTGATCGCTGAGATCCTGGTTGAAGACAGCGGAGGTGTATTTAGAGGGTAAATTAGTCAGGATGATATCTATGAGGGTGCCCATGTTTACGGATTTAGGGTTGTACCTGGTAGGTTCCTTGATAATTTGTGTGAGATTGAGGGCATCTAGTTTAGATTGTAGGACGGCCGGGGTGTTAAGCATATCCCAGTTTAGGTCACCAAGCAGTACAAACTCTGAGGATAGACGGGGGGCAAGCAATTCACATATGGTGTCTAGGGCACAACTGGGGGCTGAGGGGGGTCTGTAGCAAGCGGCAACAGTGAGAGACTCATTTCTGGAAAGGTGGATTTTTAGAAGTAGAAGCTCAAACTGTTTGGGCACAGACCTGGATAGTATGATAGAGCTCTGCAGGCTATCTCTACAGTAGATTGCAACTCCACCCCCTTTGGCAGTTCTATCTAGACGGACAATGTTGTAGTTCGGAATGGACATTTTTGGTGGCCTTCCTAAGCCAAGATTCAGACACTGCTAGAACATCAGGGTTGGCAGAGTGTTCTAACGCAGTGAATAACTCAAACTTGGGGAGAAGTCAACAAATGATAGCACCTGGGGGGTAGGAGTGATACTGGGGGCTACAGGGCCTGGGTTAACCTCTACATCACCAGAGGAACAGAGGAGGAATAGAATAAGGATACGGCTAAAGGCTTTAAGAACTGGTCTTCTAGTGTGTTGGGTACAGAGAATAAAAGAGGCAGACATTGTAGAATAGATCCAGGGCATTATGTACAGACAAGGATATGGAAGGATATGAGTACAGTGGAGGTAAACCTAAGCATTGGGTAACTACGAAAGAGATAGCATCACAGGAGGTACCGATTGAGCCGGTCTCCGCGTGTATGGGGGGTGGAACAAAGGAACTATTTGAGGCAGTTTGAGCAGGACTGGGGGTTCTACAGTGAAATTGTATAATAAGAACTAACCCAAACAGCAATAGGCTAGGCATATTGACATGGGAGAGAGGCATAACACAATCACAGGTGTTATTCGAGAAGACAACAAGAGGTAATGGGAGACTTGATATAGACAACAACTGGTAATGGCGACGAAAGTTTGGGCTGAGGCTAAACAGATAAACAGGATGGGGTACCTTGTAAAGGAACAGTCCAGCAGGCATTCGCTGTGTAGCTGAGCGATCATAAGGTCCAGTGAACAGCAATAAGTAAGTCCGGGAGCAGTTCGTAGGCTGCTACAGCACAGGCGAGCAGGAGGCACGGCTGTTGATTGCGCGTGCTAACGGGCCGGGGCTAGCAGATGGATGTTCGTGGTCATCGCAACGGGAAGCCTGTTGAAACCACATCAGACGATTACGTCGCCAGACCAGTCGTGATGGATCGGCGGGGCTCCGTGTCGACACTAGGAGGTCCCGTCCGGTTGACAGAGGTAGATAGCCGGGAGATGGGCCTGGCTCGAGGCTAGCTCAAGGCTAACTGGTACGTCGGGACAGTGGTGATTAGCCAACAACAGCTATTCGGTTGCAGCTAGCTAGTTGCGATGGTCCGGTGTTAAGGTCCATTGATTCAGTGATTCTGGCAGAAAATCCGATATGCTCTGGGTCAATAGCGCGCTGTGCAGACTGGCCGATAATTGTCCAGGCTAGAGCTGGCTGGTAGGTAGTGCAGGCCACGGACAGTGTTGAAGACCGCTAACGGTGGCTAATAGCTAGTTAGCTTGCTAGCTGGCTAGTTTCAGCCGTAGGTTCTTGATAAAAATAAAGAAATAATAGAATCCGTTCCACCATGGGTGAGGCGGGTTGCAGGAAAGTATATTTAGTTAAAGGATGGAATGTGAGATAGAGGAATATATAAGAAAAAAACTAATAAAACTGTCTATTTTCACGAGGACACAACAGAATACACGACCACACTACTACGCCATCTTGGATCAACTCTAACCTTAACCTTAATCTTAACTCTAACCCTAACCTTAACTTGAGTCCTAACTCTAACCCTGACCCTAACCCTAACCTTAACCACCACTTTATTTTAAGAATGTGAAATGTCAGAATAACAGTAGAGAGAATTATATATTTCAGCTTTTATTTCTTTCATCACATTCCCAGTGGGTCAGAAGTTTACATACACTCAATTAGTATTTGGTAGCATTGCCTTTAAATTGTTTAACTTGGGTCAAACGTTTCGGTTAGCCTTCCACAAGCTTCCCACAATAAGTTGGGTGAATTTTGGCCCATTCCTCCTGACAGAGCTGGTGTAACTGAGTCAGATTTGTAGGCCTCCTTGCTCGCGCACGCTTTTTCAGTTCTGCCCACACATTTTCTATAGGATTGAAGTCAGGGCTTTGTGATGGCCACTCCAATACCTTGACTTTGTTGTCCTTAAGCCATTTTGCCACAACTTTGGAAGTATGCTTGGGGTCATTGTCCATTTGGAAGACCCATTTGCGACCAAGCTTTAACTTCCTGACTGATGTCTTGAGATGTTGCTTCAATATATCCACATCATTTTCCTTCATCATGATGCCATCTATTATGTGAAGTGCACCAGTCCCTCCTGCAGCAAAGCAACCCCACAGCATGAGGATGCCACCCCCGTGCTTCACGGTTGGGAAAGTGTTCTTCGGCTTGCAAGCCTTCCCCTTTTTCCTCCAAACATAATGATGGTCATTATGGCCAAACAGTTATATTTTTGTTTCATCAGACCAGAGAACATTTCCCAAAAAGTACGATCTTTGTCCCCATGTGCAGTTGCAAACCGTAGTGGCTTTTTTATGGCGGTTTTGAAGCAGTGGCTTCTTCCTTGCTGAGCGGCCTTTCAGGTTATGTCGATATAGGACTCGTTTTACTGTGATATAGATACTTTTGTACCAGTTTCCTCCAGCATCTTCACAAGGTCCTTTGCTGTTGTTCTGGGATTGATTTGCACTTTTCGCACGTGCCTGAAGGTACCACGTTCATCTCTAGGAGACAGAACGCGTCTCCTTCCTGAGCTGTGTGACGGATGCTTGGTCCCATGGTGTTTATACTTGCGTACTATTGTTTGTACAGATGAACATATTTGGTTAGTAGAAACCCTACTGAGACAGGTAGAAATGTTTTCTCTCTACAAGCCAATATGTATCCAATGTACGGTCTATTTAAGCAATAAGGCCCAAGAGGGTGTGGTATATGGTCAATATACCATGGCTAAGGGCTGTTCTTATGCACGACCCAACGCGGATACAGCCCTTAGCCATGATATATTAGCCATATACCACAATCCCCAGAGATTCCTTATTGCTATTGTAAACTGGTTACCAATGTAATTAGAGCAGTAAAAATAAATGTTTTTTCATACCCATGGTATACGGTCTGATATACCACGGTTGTTAGCCAATCAGCATTAATTGCTCGACCCACCCAGTTTATATTACAGTGTATTGCATTGGGGCTATGGAAGGGGTGGAGAACGAAGTGCTGCTAGATATGTAAGACATAGTCCCCCTCCAAAACTACACATATTTGGTTAGTAGAAACCCTACTGAGTATTTCCCACCCCACTTTAGCTGAGACAGGTAGAAAAGTTATCTCTACAGCCCAATATTGACAACATACCAATGTCAACATTGTATATTTTCATTATAAACATTATATTTTATTTTTTTAAACCAAATTATTTGTAATTAGTTTTCATACATTAATTATTGCATTTTCTTGTTGGCACAATAAAAGTGGCCATTGATTAAAATTCAATATCATTTTAATGAGTTATCCTCATTGCAATGTTTTGAAATGCGGGCTTTTATTTTTGAAGGTTTCCTCATTACCATACGAAAGTGACGTCAACGTTTGTGCTGCTGGCAGAATACTAGTTCATCTCGGACCAGACTTTGTAGTGGGGACAATCGTAACCGTCTTGATTTGGGATATTTCCGTTTTTATTTTGTTTTTACAAGGAATTGCTTTATCCTATTATTCGTTTCGATTATTATCAAAAATCTCAAGGATGGGCTGCTCCGGTTTCACCTGCTCCAAGCACTCCCTCTGTGCGCTCAATATCCTCTATGTTGTGAGTATGCGATTCCAGAATTTACCATATGGAGTATTATTAAGCTATACTGTAACAGGTTTGGGGCGTTGGTTCGGGTAGCCTATATGACGCTTTTTATGCGGTCTGTGTGGGTGTGTAAGAAACATTGTTGCGGTACAGCCTGTTGTAAACAATACATTGGGTCTGACTAGGCTCTGCTGCTATAAATTATTAAAACTGAACCTTTGTGTGGAATAAGATTTGCGTCTCCTGTTTGACAAAGGCAACCTCAGCACGTAAAAATATTAGGATTTATATTCAGTATTTAGGCAACTGAATATTTAGAATGGCCTATATATATTATTTTCTCTCTCAATTTCCTATCTCGTTTCCTTTCTCTCCTGAGTCCTGACACTTTCCAATGCAAGGGTGTATCCTGTCTTTGTTAAGCTCTAACCATTCCTGATATCTCTTATCAAGTGGTTGTTACTGAAAACAACATTATATGGGCCATAGTGTGTAGACTCCATAGCATTCCTCTACAAACCCTCAACATAGGGCCTCAAATGTCCACAGCACCACCAAATGTTTTGCAGGAGTGTTGGTGGCATCAAAACAGACCACAGTGGTGACCTAGATTTAAGCTGAATATACATTTACAGGCAGATAAATGATGTTCCACTTTTGACTGTCGCTTCTTCTATTTCCAGGGGCGCAACTTTCACTGGGGACGGGGGTACATGTCCCCCCACATGTCCCCCCCACATTCTGAAATTGCATTTTTGTCCCCCTCCAGTTTCTCATTGGAATGTGATACAAAACGAGGCAACGGTGTGATTTAGGACCATGCAGACGCCTCCGAGCGGTCGGGTAGGCCGTTGCCTCCTGGCGGTAATAAAGCCTCTCTTGAAAAAGCCAAACCTTGACCCAGAAATGTAAAACACTATCGGCCTATATCAAGTCTCCCATTCCTCTCAAATTTTTTTGAAAAAGCTGTTGTGCAGCAACTCACTGCCTTCCTGAAGACAAATAATGTATACGAAACGCTTTAGTCTGGTTTTAGACCCCATCATAGCACTGAGACTGCACTCGTGAAGGTGGTAAATTACCTTTTAATGGCGTCAGACCAAGGCTCTGCATCTGTCCTCGTGCTCCTAAACCTTAGTGGCTGCTTTTGACACCTTCGATCACCACATTCCTTTGGAAAGATTGGAAACCTTAATTGGTATACACGGACAAGTTCTTGCCTGGTTTAGATCTTATCTGTCGGAAAGATATCAGTTCGTCTCTGTGGATGGTTTGGCCTCTGACAAATCAATTGTAAGTTTTGGTGTTCCTCTAGTTTCCGTTTTAGGACCACTATTGTTTTCACTATATATTTTACCTCTTGGTGATGTCATTCGGAAACACAATGTTAACTTTCATTGCTATGCGGACGACACACAGCTGTACATTTTGATGAAACATGGTGAAGCCCCAAAATTGCCTACCCTGGAAGCCTGTGTTTCAGACATAAGGAAGTGGATGGCGGCAAATGTTTTACTTTTAAACTCAGACAAAACAGAGATGCTAGTTCTAGGTCCCAAGAAACAAAGATATCTTCTGTTGGATCTGACAATTAATCTTGATGGTTGTACAGTCGTCAAAAAATTAACTGTGAAGGACCTCGGCGTCACTCTGGACCCTGATCTCTCTTTTGACGAACATATCAAGAATATTTCAAGGAAAACTTTTTGTCCAAACATTATGCAGAAAAGCTCATCCATGCTTTTGTCACTTCTAGATTAGACTACTGCAATGCTCTACTCTCCGGCTACCATGATAAAGCACTAAATAAACTTCAGTTAGTGCTAAACACGGCTGCTAGAATAAAAAAAAAAAAAAAATGTATTTCACCTTTATTTAACCAGGTAAGCCAGTTGAGAACAAGTTCTCATTTACAACTGCGATCTGGCCAAGATAAAGCAAAGCAGTGCGATTAAAAACAACAACACAGAGTTACATATGGGGTAAAACAAACATAAAGTCAAAAATACAACAGAAAATATATATACAGTGTGTGCAAATGTAGCAAGTTATGGAGGTAAGGCAATAAATAGGCCATAGTGCAAAATAATTACAATTAGTATTAACACTGGAATGATAGATGTGCAAGAGATGCTGTGCAAATGAGCAAAATAAATAACAATATGGGGATGAGGTAGTTGTGTGGGCTAATTTCAGATGGGCTGTGTAGAGGTGCAGTGATCAGTAAGGTGCTCTGACAACTGATGCTTAAAGTTAGTGAGGGAGATAAGTCTCCAGCTTCAGAGATTTTTGCAGTTCGTTCCAGTCATTGGCAGCAGAGAACTGGAAGGAATGGCGGTCAAAGGAGGTGTTGGCTTTGGGGATGACCAGTGAGATATACCTGCTGGAGCGCATACTACGGGTGGGTGTTGCTATGGTGACCAATGAGCTAAAATAAGGCGGGGATTTGCCTAGCAGTGATTTATAGATGGCCTGGAGCCAGTGGGTTTGGCGACAAATATGTAGTGAGGACCAGCCAACAAGAGCGTACAGGTCACAGTGGTTGGGTAGTATATGGGGCTTTTGTGACAAAACGGATGGCACTGTCATAGACTACATCCAATTTGCTGAGTAGAGTGTTGGAGGCTATTTTTTAAATGACATCGCCGAAGTCAAGGATCGGTAGGATAGTCAGTTTTACGAGGGCATGTTTGGAAGCATGAGTGAAGGAGGCTTTGTTGCGAAATAGGAAGCCGATTCTAGATTTAACTTTGGATTGGAGATGCTTAATGTGAGTCTGGAAGGAGAGTTTACAGTCTAACCAGACACCTAGGTATTTGTAGTTGTCCACATACTCTAGGTCAGACCCGTCGAGAGTAGTGATTCTAGTCGTGTGGGCGGGTGCCAGCAGCGTTCGATTGAAGAGCATGCATTTAGTTTTACTTGTGTTTAAGAGCAGTTGGAGGCTACGGAAGGAGTGTTGTATGGCATTGAAGCTCGTTTGGAGATTTGTTAACACGGTGTCCAATGTAGTTGGTGAACCAGGCGAGGCAGTCATTTGAGAAACCAAGGCTATTTAGTCTGCCAATAAGAATGCAGTGGTTGACAGAGTCGAAAGCCTTGGCCAGGTCGATGAAGATGGCTGCACAGTATTGTCTATTATTGATCGCGGTTATAATATCGTTTAGGACCTTGAGCGTGGCTGAGGTGCACCCATGACCAGCTCGGAAACCGGATTGCATAGCGGAGAAGGTACGGTGTGATTCTAAATGGTCGGTGATCTGTTTGTTAACTTGGCTTTCAAAAACTTTTGAAAGGCAGGGCGAATATAGGTCTGTAACAGTTTGGATCTAGAGTGTCACCCCCTTTGAAGAGGGGGATGACCGCGGCAGCTTTCCAATCTCTTGGGATCTCAGACGATACGAAAGAGAGGTTGAACAGGCTAGTAATAGGGGTTGCGACAATTTCGGCTGCTAATTTTAGAAAGAAAGGGTCCAGATTGTCTAGCCCAGATGATTTGTAGGGGTCCAGATTTTGCAGCTCTTTCAGAACATCAGCTGTCTGAATTTGTGTGAAGGAGAAGCGGGGGGGCATGGGCAAGTTGCAGCGGAGGGTGCAGAGCTGGTGGTAGCCAGGTGGAAAGCATGGCCAGCCATAGCAAAATGCTTGTTGAAATTCTCGATTATTGTAGATTTATCGGTGGTGACAGTGTTTCCTAGCCTCAGTGCAGTGGGCAGCTGGGAGGAGGTGCTCTTATTCTCCATGGACTTTACAGTGTCCCAAAACTTTTTGGAGTTAGTGCTACAGGATGCAAATTTCTGTTTGAAAAAGCTAGCATTTGCTTTCCTAACTGCTGTGTATATTGGTTCCTAACTTCCCTGAAAAAGTTGCATATCGCGGGGGCTATTCGATGCTAATGCAGTACGCCACAGGATGTTTTTGTGCTGGTCAAGGGCAGTCAAGTCTGAAGAGAACTAGAGGATATATCTGTTCTTAGTTCTGAATTATTTGAATGGGGCATACTTATTTAAGATTGAGAGGAAAGCACTTTTAAAGAACAACCAGGCATCCTCTACTGACAGAATGAGATCGATATCCATCCAGGATACCTGGGCCAGGTCAATTAGTAAGGTCTGCTCGCTAAAGTGTTTTAGGGAGCGTTTGACAGTGATGAGGGGTGGTCGTTTGACCGCGGACCCGTTACGGACGCAGGCAATAAGGCAGTGATCGCTGAGATCCTGGTTGAAGACAGCGGAGGTGTGTTTAGAGGGTAAGTTAGTCAGGATGATATCTATAAGGGTGCCCATGTTTACGGATTTAGGGTTGTACCTGGTAGGTTCCTTGATAATTTGTGTGAGATTGAGGGAATCTAGTTTGGATTGTAGGATGGCCGGGGTGTTAAGCATATCCCAGTTTAGGTCACCAAGAAGTACGAACTCTGAGGATAGATGGGGGGCAATCAATTCACATATGGTGTCCAGGGCACAGCTGGGGGCTGAGGGGGGTCTGTAGCAAGCGGCAACAGTGAGGATTTTTAGAAGTAGGAGCTCAAACTGTTTGGGCACAGACCTGGATAGTATGATAGAGCTCTGTAGGCTATCGCTACAGTAGATTGCAACTCCACCCCCTTTGGCAGTTCTGTCTAGACGGAAAATGTTGTAGTTCGGGATGGACATTTCTGAATTTTTGGTGGCCTTCCTAAGCCAGGATTCAGACACTGCTAGAACATCAGGGTTGGCGGAGTGTGCTAACGCAGTGAATAACCTAAACTTAGGGAGGAGGCTTCTTATGTCAACATGCAAAAAACCAATGCTTTTACGGTTACAGAAGTCAAAAAATGATAGCTCCTGGGGAGTAGGAGTGATACGGGGGGCTGCAGGGCCTGGGTTAACCTCTACATCACCAGAGGAACAGAGGAGGACTAGAATAAGGATACGGCTAAAGGCTTTAAGAACTGGTCTTCTAGTGCGTTGGGTACAGAGAATAAAGGGGGCAGATTTCCAGGCATTGTAGAATAGGATCAGGGCATGATGTACAGACAAGGATATTAATAATAATAATAATAATATGCCATTTAGCAGACGCTTTTATCCAAAGCGACTTACAGTCATGCGTGCATAATTTTTTTTTTGTGTATGGGTGGTCCCGGGGATCGAACCCACTACCTTGGCGTTACAAGCGCCGTGCTCTACCAGCTGAGCTACAGAGGACCACATATGGAAGGATATGAGTACAGTGGAGGTAAACCTAAGCGTTGGTTTAACAATGAAAGAGATAGCATCACTGGAGGCACCGATTGAGCCGGTCTCCGCGTGTATGGGGGGGTGGAACAAAGGAACCATTTGAGGCAGTTTGAGAGGGACTTGGGGCTCTACAGTGAAATTGTATAATAAGAACTAACTGGAACAGCAATAGGCAAGGCATATTAACATGGGAGAGAGGCATAAAGCAATCACAGGTGTTATTCGAGAGAGCTAAGACAACAACTGGTAATGGCGATGAAAGTTTGGGCTGAGGCTAAACAGATAAACAGGACAGGGTACCGTGTAAAGGAACAGTCCAGCAGGCATCAGCTGTGCAGCTGAGTGATCATAAGGTCCAATGAACAGCAATATGTGAGTCCGAGAGCAGTTAGAATTGGTGCTACAGCACAGGCTAGCAGGAAGCACGGCTGTTGTTTGCGTGTGCTAGCGGGCCGGGGCTAGCAGATGGATCTTCGTGGTCATCGCAACAGGAAGCCTGTTGAAACCACAGACGATTACGTCGGCAGACCAGTCGTGATGGATCGGCGGGGCTCTGTGTCGACTCTAGGAGGTCCCGTCCGGTTGACAGAGAGGTAGATAGCCGGGAGATGGCCCTGACTTGAGGCTAGCTCAAGGCTGATTAGCCAACAACAACATCCATTTGGTTGCAGCTAGCTAGTTGCGATGATCCGGTGTTAAAGGTCCAGTGATTCAGGGATTCCGACAGAAAAAACGATATGTTCTGGGTCGATAACGCGCTGTGCAGACAGTGCAGACTGGCCAATAATAGTCCAGGCTAGAGCTGGCTGGTAGGTAGTGCAGGCCACGGACAATGGTGAAAAACCGCTAACGGTGGCTAATAGCAAGTAGCTAGTTAGCTGGCTACTCCCGTCCGGTAGACAGAGAGGTAGATAGCCGGGATATGGGCCTAGCTCAAGGCTAACTGGTGCTTGCTTCGGGGGCAGTGGTGATTAGCCAACAGCAACATCCATTCAGTTGCGGCTAGTTAGTTGCGATCCGGTGTTAATGTCCAGTGATTCAGTTATTCCGGCCGAAAATCCGATGTTCTGGGTGAAAACCGCTAACGATGGCTAATAGCAAGTAGCTAGTTAGCTGGCTAGCTAGTTTCAACTGGAGATTCTAGATAGAAGGTAAGTCAATAATAGAATCCCTTCCACATTGAGTGAGGCGGGTTTGCAGGAAAGTATATTTAGTAGAAGGATGAAAAGTGGGATAGGGAAATATGTACGAAAAATACAAAAAACAGGCTATTTACACAGACACACACAGAGTACACGACCGCACTGCTACGCCAACTTGGAATATTGTTGACTAGAACCCAACATTTGTATCATATTACTCAAATCAAATCAAATCAAAAAAAAAAATATTGGTCACATGCGCCGAATACAACAGGTGCAGACATTACAGTGAAATGCTTACTTACAGCCCTTAACCAACAGTCCATTTATTTTTAACAAAAAAAGTTAAAATAAAACAACAACAAAAAAAGTGTTGAGAAAAAAAGAGCAGAAGTAAAATAAAATAACAGTAGGGAGGCTATATATACAGGGGGGTACCGGTGCAGAGTCAATGTGCGGGGGCACCGGCTAGTTGAGATAGTTGAAGTAATATGTACATGTGGGTAGAGTTAAAGTGACTATGCATAAATCATTAACAGAGTAGCAGCAGCGTAAAAAGGATGGGGTGGGGGGGCAGTGCAAATAGTCCGGGTAGCCATGATTAGCTGTTCAGGAGTCTTATGGCTTGGGGGTAGAAGCTGTTGAGAAGTCTTTTGGACCTAGACTTGGCACTCCGGTACTGCTTGCCGTGCGGTAGCAGGGAGAACAGTCTATGACTAGGGTGGCTGGAATCTTTGACAATTTTGAGGGCCTTCCTCTGACACCGCCTGGTATAGAGGTCCTGGATGGCAGGAAGCATGGCCCCAGTGATGTACTGGGCCGTATGCACTACCCTCTGTAGTGCCTTGCGGTCGGAGGCCAAGCAGTTGCCATACCAGGCGGTGATGCAACCAGTCAGGATGCTCTCGATGGTGCAGCTGTAGAATTTTTTGAGGATCTGAGGACCCATGCCAAATCTTTTCAGTCTCCTGAGGGGGAATAGGCTTTGTCGTGCCCTCTTCACGACTGTCTTGGTGTGTTTGGACCATGATAGTTCGTTGGTGATGTGGACACCAAGGAACTTGAAGCTCTCAACCTGTTCCACTACAGCCCCGTCGATGAGAATGGGGGCGTGCTCAGTCCTCTTTTTTTTCCTGTAGTCCACAATCATCTCCTTTGTCTTGGTCACGTTGAGGGAGAGGTTGTTGTCCTGGCACCACACGGCCAGGTCTCTGACCTCCTCCCTATAGGCTGTCTCATCGTTGTCGGTGATCAGGCCTACCACTGTTGTGTCGTCGGCAAACTTAATGATGGTGTTGGAGTCGTGCCTGGCCATGCAGTCATGGGTGAACAGAGAGTACAGGAGGGGACTGAGCACGCACCCCTGAGGGGCCCCCGTGTTGAGGATCAGTGTGGCAGATGTGTTGTTACCTACCCTTACCACCTGGGGGCGGCCCGTCAGGAAGTCCAGGATCCAGTTGCAGAGGGAGGTGTTTAATCCCAGGATCCTTAGCTTAGTGATGAGCTTTGAGGGCACTATGGTGTTGAATGCTGAGCTGTAGTCAATGAATAGCATTCTCACGTAGGTGTTCCTCTTGTCCAGGTGGGAAAGGGCAGTGTGGAGTGCAATAGAGATTGCATCATCTGTGGATATGTTGGGGCGGTATGCAAATTGGGGTGGGTCTAGGGTTTCTGGGATAATGCTGTTGATGTGAGCCATGACCAGCCTTTCAAAGCACTCCATGGCTACAGACGTCAGTGCTACGGGTCGGTAGTCATTTAGGCAGGTTATCTTAGAGTCCTTGGGCACGGGGACTATGGTGGTCTGCTTGAAACATGTTGGTATTACAGACTCAGTCAGGGACATGTTGAAAATGTCAGTGAAGACACTTGCCAGTTGGTCAGCACATGCTCGGAGTACACGTCCTGGTAATCCGTCTGGCCCTGCGGCCTTGTGAATGTTGACCTGCTTAAAAGTCTTACTCACATCGGCTACGGAGAGCGTGATCACATAGTCATCCGGAACAGCTGGTGCTTTCATGCATGCTTCAGTGTTGCTTGCCTCGAAGCGAGCATAGAAGTGGTTTAGCTCTCTACATTGGCTTCCTGTAAAGGCTAGGGCTGATTTCAAGGTTTTACTGCTAACCTACAAAGCATTACATGGGCTTGCTCCTACCTATCTCTCTGATTTGGTCCTGCCATATATACCTACATGTACACTACGGTCACAAGACACAGGCCTCCTTATCGTCCCTAGAATTTCTAAGCAAACAGCTGGAGGCAGGGCTTTCTCCTATAGAGCTCCATTTTTATGGAATGGTCTGACTATCCATGTGAGAGACGCAGACTCGGTCTCGACCTTTTAAGTCTTTACTGAAGACTCATCTCTTCAGTAGGTCCTATGATTGAGTGTAGTCTGGCCCATGGGTGCGAAGGTGAACGGAAAGGCACTGGAGCGATGAACCGCCCTTGCTGTCTCTGCCTGGCCTGTTCCCGTCTCTCTGCCTCTGAACCTATTACAGGGGCTGAGTCACTGGCTTACTGGTGCTTTCCATTCCGTCTCTAGGAGGGGTGCGTCACTTGAGTGGGTTGAGTCACTGATGTGATCTTCCTGTCCAGTTTGTCGCCCCCTCGGGCTCGTGCAGTGGAGGAGATCTTCATGGGCTATACTCAGCCTTGTCTCATGGTAGTAGGTTGGTGGTCTGTTGATATCCCTCTGGTGGTGTGGGGGCTGTGCTTTGGCAAAGTGGTGGGGTTATATCCTGCCTGGTTGGCCCTGTCCGGGGGTATCGTCGGACGGGGCCACAGTGTCTCCCGACCCCCCCCCCCCCCCCCCCCCCCCCCGTCTCAGCCTCCAGTATCTATGCTGCAATAGTCTATGTGCCGGGGGGCTAGGGTCAGTCTGTTATATCTGGTGTTATTCTCCTGTCTTATCCGGTGTCCTGTGTGAATTTATAGTATGCTCCCTCTAATTCTCCCTCTCTCCCTCCCCTCCGGAGGACCTGAGCCCTAGGACCATGCCTTAGGACTACCTGGCCTGATGACTACCTGGCCTGATGCTACTGCTCCAGTTTCAACTCTTCTGCCGGCGGCTATGGAACCCTGAACTGTTCATCGGACGTGCTACCTTGTCCCAGACCTGCTGTTTTCAACTCTCTCTCTGTACCACACCTGCTATTTCAACCTCTGAATGCCCGGCAATGAAAACCCAAGGGACATTTACTCCTGATGTCCTGACCTGTTGCACCCTCTACAACCACTGTGATAATTATTTGACCCTGCTGGTCATCTATGAACGTTTTAACATCTTGGAAAAAAATCTGGCCTTAATGGCCATGTACAGTTATAATCTCCACCCGGCACAGCCAGAAGGGGACTAGCCACCCCTCAGAGCCTGGTTCCTCTCTAGGTTTCTTCCCAGGTTTCTGCCTTTCTAGGGAGTTTTTCCTAGCCACCGTACTTCTATATCTGCATTGCTTGCTGTTTGGGGTTTTAGGCTGGGTTTCTGTATAGCACTTTGTGACATCTGCTGATGTAAAAAGGACTTTATAAATACATTTGATTGATTGATTGAGTGTTTATCCGACTGGATTATTCTTTTTATTTATTTTTATATGTCCCCCCCACTTCTAAAACCAAAGTTGCACCCCTGTCTATTTCTAAAAGCATGTAGTCTGAGGTGTAGCCTGTGTCCTCCTTACCGGTTGTACCGCTGCAATTACATTTTATTACATACCATAACCTGTAAGCCTATCTGATAGTTTGTGGTCAACGTCCACACAAACTTTCTTTCTCTCTGTTTGTGTTTGTGTCTGTGCCTGCCTGTCTATTTATCTGTCTATCCGTCCCTCCCTCTCTAGATGGTGAGTCTGCTGATGATCGGCATCGCTGCGTGGGGGAAGTGGTTCGGCCTGGTGTCTAGCTTCCAGGTGGTGGGCGGAGTCATTGGAGTGGGCGTGTTCCTGTTCTTCGTGGCATTGGTCGGCCTCATCGGGGCCATTAAGCACCACCAGGTCCTACTCTTCTTCGTATCCTAACCTTCCACCAAGGCAGACTTGACCTGACCCAAGACCAAAGTGAATTTGGGGTCTAGAATTTGAATTATGGCTTGAGTTCAGGTTTGGTGTCAGGTTTCAGGTCAAGTAGATTGAGGCCTTGGGTAGGCTATGTGTTAAATTCAAAATAACTGAAGTTTCAATAAGCTTTTCCAATAGCTTCAGCAGCTCGCCAAAAGGGATTGTCTGAATGAGACAATCCTCTCCACGTCGTCCTTTATCTTCACCCGTTGTGCTTTATTTCAATAGGACTCATAGCCCCTTGTTGTTTATCCATTACTTGTTTTCCAGGCTGTACTGATCTCTTACCCCTACCCTACTGTATGTTGTGGAAAAATCCCTGCTGATTTTCCATTCATGCATGGCATGCACACGCAGTAACATCTGTGAGACCAGGTCCAGTATCGTATTACACATTGTAGTCAGCCTGCGACCCCTGCTTCTGGCTTAGTCATCAGGGCATAATACTGACTGGCTTTCAGTCATTATTACAGTGTTATTATTACATTATTACATTACATTATTACAGTATTCATCTATAATATTCCATATTACTAATACAGAAGTTTAGAGAAATAAAACAGTTGCAGCCCGTTGACTGTTGGAAATAAGTAACCTCCGCCTTCGGAAGTGTGACCAACTGGGTTCAAAACTACAAAAGCTCTGTGTTGAGAATGTGTGTATTGGAATGTTATTCCTTGACATTGGACCCCAGTATATGATCATCCTCTTCATGGTGTTCATCGTCCAGTTCTCTGTCTCCAGCGCCTGTCTGGCCATCAACAAGGATCAGCAGGTAGGAACACCAACTGCTGTCAATCACAACAACATTGCTTTAAGTGCTAGAGGAACAAAAACAACTTTTCAGACAAATCACAGAAACCTTGTGATTAAATACTAGATAGATACAAGACAACATATGCTAATGAATCATGATGTGTCTGTTATTGGTGAATGTTGTGGTGAAATCTCAGATCTAGGGACCTCCCATGTCTCTGCACTGCGGTGTGTTCCGGTTCCATGCACTATGGAGTATATTTTTAGAAGCAAAATCACTATTTTTTTCAGACTGACCTCCATCCGGGTCTAGATCAGTAGACTACCTTAGGAATGTCTGGTCCTGTGTATACAGGCATTGTATTGCACCTATATCTGTATATGAGTGTATCTATGGTGGTCAGTGCTTGCTGTACCCCTGTTTTAGGAACACCTGTTGGAGGTGGGATGGAACAACTCTCATACCACCCAGAGAGATGTAGAGAAGAGTCTCAACTGCTGTGGCTTCTACCACGTAGACAACAGCGGGACCTGTGATGCTGTAAGCACTAACAAATGAACCCTCTGGTGCACTGAATCTGAATCTACTGTATGTTGTATTTGACCTCTCTATCTCAGGTCACAAGCTCTGTTGGTACATACCAAGATATATCATTACAACTAATGTGACGGTCTAAAACATCTGTGTTGATATGGCTCTGATATTATTTATAATATTTGTATCAAACTGGTTCTGATGATATCAGCTGCTGTATATTCAGTATTGTGGCTGTAAAGCAGTTTTCCTGGCTAACTGGTCCATCTGTGCCCCCTCTACAGGCCTGTTTCCCCAACCACTCCTGTTCACCGTGTGCTGAGCAGATCCAGGCGCATGCAGGAGAGGTGTTGCGCTTCGTGGGCGGGATAGGCCTCTTCTTCAGCTTCACTGAGGTGAGATCTCCCTTTATATACAGTCAGGGAATGTTCTGGTGTATCAATCAAGCATTCAATCAACTTATATAGTGCTTTAAAATTGTGATTTCTTTTAACAGTAAACCGGCCTATCTTGAGCTGCAGTTTATGAAATCTAATAGAGAATGAAAATGTATATTTACAGTATATGATCTATTATTAGTAGGGTCAGTATGATAAAACTGGGTCCAGTAATGTTTTCTTCCTGTTGCAGATCCTGGGGGTATGGCTAACGTATCAATACAGGAACCAGAAGGACCCTCGAGCCAATCCCAGCGCCTTCCTGTAACCGCTGGCAACTGCTGGCTCTGTGCCCCGCCCCCCTCACCCCACACCCTGGGAGTGGCCAACCCTCCTCCTGGAGAGCTACTGGATGTGCAGGCTTTTGCTCCAGCCCTACTCTAACTGTAACACTAACACATCTGATTCTAAACAAATTAGCTGCTAATCGGGACCATTTTCAGCTGAATTGGTTGTATTAGTTAAAGCAGGGCCGGAGCAAAAGCTGCATACCAAGTAGCTCTCCAGGTGGCTGCCTGTTTTAGGGGCTGTGTTTGTAAATAAGCGAGTGACTTGTGTGTGTTTTCACCAGCTGAGCGAAGCAGCAGGCCTTTGTGTGGTGTTTCATGAAGGTGTGTGTCTGGAAAATAACTGGGTCATGTTCATTAGGGCACCAAACGGGAGAAAACTGACTGAGACAGGAGGAACTACATTTACCTTTACATTTTCCGTTGCAAAATGTTTTCCATTGTGTGCCCTAATGAACATGATCCGGCTGTATATTAAAATGCTGCATGAACCTATTACCCTAATAGGACACCTGAGACCACTCCCAATCACAATCATATCCTGTATTTAACCTCTCATACGTATATGGCTCTGCTTCCGATTACAAATCTCCTCTTGGAATCAACGTTTTCAAAGAATACATTTGATATTTGATACAAGTGTTCACTATGCTCAGACCTGTATTAGAGCATGTGAACTGTGATGTTGTGACTACTGAATCACTCCTGTATTACAGACCATGACTGACATAATGAAGAACAGTTTGTATTATTTTGAGCACATGGTGACTGAAGATATCATTGAATATTTGTACATTTGATTTTAACACTCAATAACTGAAGGACTATAGCATGCTGTTGACAATTGTATGCTGATACTACATAACTACAACTATTTAAGCAGCTTGTTGTTGCCTTTACTTTAAGTCATTATGCTACACAGTATTACATTTGTTTTGTGTTCTGTATATATATTTCTGTGTAAACATTCCTAATTATTAGAAATCTGCTAAACAAAATGCATTAATGTTAGAGTCAATTGCTTATGCTGTCTGAATATCAACACTATGAAATGCTGGGGAAGACTGACCTGAAAGAAAATATGATCTGCTTTGTTCTGCTGATAGTGTTACAAAGCCTGGCAGTCCATTGTGTGTGCTGCTGCATCATGTCTCTGCTAGTGTGTGCTACTGCTACTGATGGTTCTGTGAACTAGGTACCTGTGCCTTTGTACAAGAAATCACAATAAAATAGATATTTTAGATCTATTTCATACCCAGTTTCTGTTCTTGGGCTTTCCTTTCAACAACGAGGGTAACCCAATTCCCACCCATGCCCAGTCAAGTTGACCAGTCGACAGTCACTGGGTTAGTTGGGCTCTGTTTCCATAGAAACACAACTAGTGAAGTTGCAAAATTTAGAGCCCAGCTCATAGCAGTAGCCTGAGCATTTCCAAGAAAATAAAATCTCTCCACAGGTGGAATGAGAGTAAGTAATGCTTTATTTGCTTTCTGGCATATAATTCGCATACATTCCCATGAAGAACAATGATAATTACTCAGGTCACTCAGTGTGTGTGCGCGTGCGTGCGTGCGTGTATGCGTGTGTGTGTCATTCCCGACCAACCAGTGGTCTGCTTATACAACAAAGGCATTGGTTGAGGTTCGGTAGTCAGGCAACCAGGCTTTGACTGGTTCAGTAACCAGGCTACCAGGCAGTGACTCAGGAAAAGTCCTTTCAAACCCCCAATGGCCCGACCATTCAGGATGTGACCAGGATGTCAGCACTCACTCTTTAGCTACACACACACACACATACACACATTGACACACACACACACACACACACACACTTTCTCTCTTTTCAATAGCCCTTTTAACTTGAGTCATCATCATGAAGGGTAAAAAAGTTTATACACTCAGATAATCTGGTTACATTTTACAATGATGCACACATCATTTAAGAATTGCATCTCAGATGTACAGCAATACATTACAAAGATCGAGAGTTTCAGGGAAAATAACAGAATGTAAAAAATAGAAATGCATTTTGTGAAAGTGAAGACTAGTTCTTTCCAGTGCTTAAGGTTACATGGTGACAGTATGCCACTGGCTGACTCCTAGGCTCCAGAGATCATTCTGAGAATGTTCTGAGAATGTTCAGAAAACCTCTGAGGTCCGAGGCCAATGGTCAACGGGTCACATGCTTTGTCAGTGCTTACAACTCAGTCTTCAGCAGCTTCTTGGCCTTCTGCATGTTGCTCAACACTGTAGGGTGAAGGGAAAATGAAGAGTCACTCAAGAGAAGTCAAGACTAAGTCCCTCAAGAGAAGTCAAGACTAAGTCACTCGAGAAGTCAAAGTCACTCAAGAGAAGTCAAAAGTCACTCAAGAGAAGTCAAGACTAAGTCACTCAAGAGAAGTCAAAAGTCACTCAAGAGAAGTCAAGACTAAGTCACTCACACAAGAGTCGCTAAGGAGCAGGTTGTTTCTCACAGAGGAGTCATTTTTTGTTGTTGTTGATGGCACTAATGGCCAAATGTAATTTATTTGAATTAATTATAAAACAATGTCTGGTTACACTTTGTAATGCCTTACATTTATAAAAGCTTATAAATGTGTATAAATGCTTAAATATTTATAATCTACTAAATACTGATTTATTAACAGTATGTAAACTGTTAGTATGCAATCAAACAGTCAAAAGAGAGAAAAGATCAAGTTGTACTCACAGAGTTTGATGTCAGAAGGCTCATAGGCGTACATACGGTTGGAGTAGCGTCCTGTGATGTCAGCTCTCACTGTCATAGAGGGATCTGAGGGGAGAGAAAGAGAGGGGGGGAGAGAGGGGGAAAGAGAGAGAGAGAGCGAGAGAGAGAGAACTACTGATTAAAATCTGTCGCTTTTGTTTGATGCCATCATAGACAAAATATTGACATTCGTTCGCATGTAATGCTGCATGGAAAACGTGACATCATCACTCACCAACAAAGATGATTCTGGGGACGTACTGGCCATCAGGGGAGAGATGCTTGTCTGTGGTTTCATACTGATAACACAGGGAGAGTAACACATATGAATTATTTATGTATTTCTAAATACTAAAAGTATGTTTGAAAAATAAAAATAAAAGTCAAATATGAATACAAAAAAGTATAAAATAAAATCAGAAAATCGAAGATAATTAATGTAGGTATTGTGCGTGGCATGATTCTAGTAATGTTTTCCAAAGTCTGAATTTAAAACTCACCACCAGATTGAGGATGATGAAGTCTTCATCAGCTACCTTCTGGATGTCCTTGTCTTCAGCGAAGGCCTTCTTCATGGCTGGATACACAAAATAAATATGTTATATTGACTTAAGAGACCTTAAGAGTTTTATTGTCCTCTCCCATACATGGCAGCAGGATGCTACGGGTATATACCACCTTGGCAAACAGAGTCCTGTTTGTTCTACTACGAATGTGATAATGGCTGTTTAAACAAGTCCTGGCATCTAATACAACTGAGTGATGCATCACAATTTGGGAGAATGCCAGGACACATAACTAGCCAAGGGAGGGACTTTGACCTGAGGTCTGTTCAGGAAGGTGCAACAGAGTGGCAGCTTATTTGCTATAGGTCAGGGTCTTACATGCGCTGTGGGGACAGTCCTCCAGGTGGAAGATGACCATCAGAGGCTTGTTCCTGTGGAGACAAAGTAGTTCTGGTTACAATAGAATAGAATAGAATATGAATAAAATAAAATAGAATAGAATAGAAAAGAGATTCCAAGGAATGCCTTGAAATGTATTTGTTTTTTTGCAAAGATAACACATCAGCTATCCAGATCTATTATATTTATGTGAAATAACAACCTATTCCCTATTGTGCACCACATAAGAAATAGGATGCCATTTCGCACGTAGCAATAAACGTTTGTTCACTCACTGTGCCCTGGCCCAGTACAGAGCTTCCTCATAGGTCTGAGCCCAGACCAGCTGATCACCCCAGCCTACAGGAGACGACAGGAAGAACAGTGTCAGAATACCTGGGGTCTGCTCAGGAAGGTGCAACATTACAGAACATTCAGGTAGATATATATTGCGTAGAACAGACATGCCTCTACTGACATGTAGAATAAGGAATCGTATGTCAGCTCTATTCATTAGATATCTCAGACCACACTGACCAGTGCTTTAGAATGAGGAAAATGAGAAAGTGTACTGTACTCTTAAAACCTTTCTTTCATTCATTCAAACACTACACTGTGATAAGCTTTGAGAAATAGTAAGGGGAGGGAGTGTTACCTCTAGAGAGAGTCTGAGGGATCCTCTTCCCCCTCTTCGCGATGTTCTTCTCAGGCTTGGCCAGAGATGAAGACACGGCTACGGCCACCAGGACCAACAGCACCGACAGCAGACCTCGGATCATGATTAATACCTTTCTGGAAGGAAACAGAGTTCAATAAGCATATCAGAGTAGGTAGGAGTGCTGATCTGTGATCAGGTCCCCCCTGTCCATATCATTTTAATCATTATGATCCATAAGTCAAAACTGATCCTATATCAGCACTCCTATTCTGAATCATTGTGAATACAGACCCAGATACCACATGCATGTCACAAAACTGCACAGATAATCTACTTCTATCATCATACTATTATAACTCAACAGTATAGCTGAGTGGAAACAATAATGAATGAATAACTGCCATGCAGAATTACAAGTAATTGCACATCTATTCAGAGTTGTTCAAGTTTTTTTAGACTGAAAGAGTCTGAAAAAGTTCCCAGCATTTAAGGCACATTTACCAGGAAAAGGATCAGATTGAGGGATAAGGGAAGAGAGATTTGTGGTTAGAGAATAACGCTTCCATTGTGGTGGAGGGAGAGATTTATTTCCTACCTGTTCTCCGTGGTACCTTTGTGTGTCTCCTGTTCTCTGCAGCTCCTCGTACTGCCGTGTCCCTTCTCTCTCACCTGGACCTGCTCTTATACACCAGCCCCAAGCTCACCTGATGGCCCCTCCCACCCACCAACCCTCTCCCTCTCTCCCCCCAAAGCTCTGATGGAATGTGTGGAGGCAGAAAGCTCCATTGATTCTAGAATTTAGACTTTCTCTCCGTTATGTCACTAACGGACACAGCCATTTTAAGGTATATCATTAAGTCTGGTTAAAGTAGGATTTGATAGTGTTGTTATGGTACGTTTTCCTTATATAATAAGAATGGGTAACGGAACTGTTGAATCATAATAGTTGGCTCAGCTCCAAGGACAGGTCAGCATTAAATCGAGGAATCTGATTTGATATCGGGGCTATTAGTCAGTTCATGGTTCAGGTCAGATCCATAAGATTGACATAATTCTCAATAAAATCACATTTTATTTGTCACATGCTTCGAAAACAACAGTGAAATGTTTACTTACAGGTCCCTTTCCAACAACGCAGAGTTAAAGATAAAACATTAAATAAAAAATAGAAATAGTAATAAATGACCTTTCATAAAGTAAACAAAATTATTTTAAAGATTGAAGGGGAAGTTTACAAATTTTTACATGTGGCCTTATTTTCACTATTTTTGTGCTGTTTTTGGTGTATATTTTGTTTAATTACTGAGAAAATTGGTTGTCACATTTTGTGACTAGTGCAAATGTGACTAGTGCATATTAGAAAACACTCTAAAACACACCACACCAACGCATATTACATTCGAATCCCATTCTGAATGATGTCTGCACTCATTTGTTTATTTTATTCCACTGTGCCATAAATCCATGTTTGAATGATGACATTTACAACAACAAGATGTAAATCTGGATTTATGGGAGTGCAGAGACATCATTCAGAATGGCATTCTGATGTAATATGAGTTGGTGTGGAGTGTTTGCTGTTTAACCTATGTGAAATGCAAAAGGATAGGACTACGTAGTTTATCACATTGGACCGGAACTCAGGTTGACATGAATTCTAGTGTGGATGTTGGAGCAGTGGAATGCTGAGCTGTCCTTAGCCTTCTCTCTTTCTTATTTGCTCCTTCCCTCTCTCTCAGAATGCTGAGGTGTCCCTAACTAAGGCTGTGTTTTCCTCTTTCCTTTGTTCTTTCTTGCTCTCTCTCAGAATGCTGAGGTGTCCTTAGCTCCTAAGGCACTGACTATCCTCCTTTCTCTCTCTCTCTGTTCCTGCCGTGTGTTGTCCCCAGGTCAATATTTGCAGTGTAGGGCAGGGTTAAAGTCGCTCCTGATCACACATTGCATCGTCTGCCACCTGGGCCACCTGTCACTAGCCTCGCCCCGGGAACACGGATCTACCATACACTACCATCGTAATAGGACGTAGGAGCTTGGATTAGGTTGTGTGATGTGCATGATGACGCTTGAGATTGTTTAAAGATCCCCTGAAACTTTTGTATGTTCCTTTCTTGGGGTCTTCTGATTATCTGAAACCTTCTTCATTGATATTCCAAATAAACAAGTTTAAATAATGGCAATTATCTTCAAAGAAACAGAGGTAAGAATTCCATTCATATAATGAAACACATCTGTTAGATAAGAACATGAAACAAAACCGTTAATGGATGACATCTCATATTCACACCCCAAAATAACAAATCAAATCAAATGTATTTATAAAGCCCTTTTTACATCAGCAGATGTCACAAAGTGCTTATACAGAAATCCAGCCTAAAATCCCAAACAGAAAGCAATGCAGATGTAGAAGCATGGTAGCTAGGAAAGACTCCCTAGAAAGGCAGGAACCTAGGAAGAAACCTAGAGAGGAACCAGGCTATGAGAGGTGTCCAGTCCTCTTCTGGCTTTGCCGTGTGGAGATTATAAGAGTACATGGCCATTAAAGCCAGATTTTTCTCCAAGATGTTTAAACGTTCATAGATGACCAGCAGGGTCAAATAATAATCACATTGGTTGCAACAGGTCAGCACCTCAGGAGTAAATGTCAGTTGGCTTTTCATAGCCGAGCATTCAGAGGTCGAGACAGCAGGTGCGGTAGAGAGATAGAGAGAGGGAGGGAAGGAGAGAGAGAGAGAGGGTCGAAAACAGCAGATCCGGGACAAGGTAGCACGTCCGGTGAACAGGTCAGGGTTCCATAGCCACAGGCAAAACAGCAGAAACTAGATCAGCAGCACAACCAGGTGGACTGGGGACAGCCAGGAGTCATTAGGTCAGGTAGTCCTGAGGTAAGGTCCTAGGGCTCAGGGCCTCCGAGAGAGAGAGAGAGAGAGAGAGAGTGTAGCGGGTGATTTGGATGGAACAGGCGCATGAGGGGTAAATCACAGAATAAATGGTTTATTCTGCAAATACAGCGGTACGCAGCAATGCGTAAAACAACTACAGTGCGGTTACAACGGCGCACTGGAGAAAACAAAACACACAGGTGAAAATCCCGGCGATACAGTACATAAAGCTCCACCGAGCTATCGACACCTCCACAAGAAACAATCACACACAAAGACATGGGGGGCAGAGGGAATACTTATACAGGGACTGATGAGGGGATATGAACCAGGTGTGTGTAAAAACAAGACAAAACAAATGGAATGATGAGATGAGGAGCGGCAGTGGCTAGAAGACAGGTGACGACGAACGCCGAAGCCTGCCCGAATAAGGAGAAGAGGCAACTTCGGAGTAAGTCGTAGCAGTATCCCCCCCTTGATGCGAAGCTACAGCAGCGCGCCGACACCGGCCTCGGGGACGGCCAGGAGGACGCGGAGCAGGGCGAGCCGGATGTCTGACGGTGGAAATCCCGCAACAGGGAGGGATCGAGGCCATCCCTCACCGAGACCCAGCACCGCGCCTCTGGACCGTACCCCTCCCATTCCACGAGGTACTGAAAGCCCCCACCCGATGCCTCGAATCCAGGATGGAACAGACGGAATACGCCGGGGCACCCTCAATGGGGCGGAGGGACCTCGCGCACCTCAGACTCCTGGAGCGGACCAGCCACCACCGGCCTGAGGAGAGATACGTGAAACGAGGGGTTAACACGGTAATCAGGAGGGAGCAGCAACCTATGCGTAACCTCGTTAACTCTCCTCAGGACTTTGAATGGCCCCACAAACCGCAGGCTCAGCTTCCGGCAGGGCAGGCGCAGGGGCAGGTTCCGGGTTGAGAGCCAGACCCGATCACCCAGTACAAAGACCGGGGCAGCGTTGGCTTTCTGGCGACACACGGCGCACTGGAGGTGGATATGGGTGGCGTTCCACGTCTCCTCCGCGTGCCGAAACCAGTCATCCACCGCAGGAGCTTCAGTCTGGCTCTGATGCCACGGCGCCAGGGCCGGCTGATACCCTAAAACACATTGACATGAGATAGGTTAGTGGAGGAGTGGCGGAGAGAGTTCTGGGCATATTCGGCCAATGGCAAGAACACCGACCACTCCCCCGGCCGGTCCTGGCAGTAGGACCGCAGGAACCTACCCACATCCTGATTCTCCCGTTCCACCTGCCCATTAGATTCGGGGTGAAACCCAGAGGTCAGGCTGACCGAGATCCCCAGACGTTCCATGAACGCCTTCCAGACCCTAGAAGTAAACTGGGGACCCCGGTCAGACACTATGTCCTCCAGCACCCCGTAGTGCCGGAAGACGTGAGTAAACAGGGCTTCCACAGTTTGCAGGGTCGTGGGGAGACCGGGCAGAGGAAGGAGGCGGCAGGCTTTAGAAAAGCGGTCCACAACGACCAGGATGGTGGTGTTACCCTGAGAGAGGAGAAGATCAGTTAGGAAGTCAATCGATAAGTGGGACCATGGCCGCTGTGGAACTGGTAAGGGATGTAACTTACCAGCTGGAAGGTGCCTAGGTGCCTTACTCTGGGCGCATACCAAGCAGGAGGAGACATACACCCTCACATCCTTAGCCAAGGTAGGCCACCAGTACTTCCCGGTCAGACAGCGCACTGTACGTCCAATGCCTGGGTGACCAGAGAAGGGGGACGTGTTTGCCCAATAGATAATATGATCACGGACACTAGACGGCACGTACCACAGCCCAGCTGGGCACTGAGGTGGAGATGGCTCTGTGCATAACGCCCGCTCTATGTCCGCGTCCACCGCCCACACTACCGGTGCCACAATGCAGGAGGCCGGGAGTATGGGGGTGTTGTCTATGGGACTCTCCTCTGTGTCATACAGCCATGACAGTGGGTCTGCCTTCACGTTCTTTGTGCCTGGTATATAGGACAGCGTGAAATCAAACCGGGTGAAGAACAAGGCCCAGGTCTGGCGAGGGTTACGGTGGTCAGTCCAGATGAGGAAAGGGTGTTTCGCCTCCTTGAGCCAGTGCCTCCACGTGGTCAGGGCTCTGACAACAGCCAACAGCTCCCGATCACCAACGTCATAGTTCTGCTCTGCTGGGCTGAGCTTCTTAGAGAAGAAGGCACGGGGCGGAGCTTGGGTGGCGTGCCCGAGCGTTGTGATAGGACAGCGCCTACCCCTACCTCGAATGCATCCACCTCCACTACGAATGGCAATGATGGATCGGGATGGGCCAGTACCGGGGCTGAGGTGAACAGAGCAATCAGGTTACTGAAAGCCCTGTCAGCCTCAGCAGACCAGCGGAGCCGGGACGGCCCACCCTTCAACAGAGAGGTGATGGGAGCTGCGACCTTGCCAAAGCCCCGGATAAACCTCTGATAGTAATTGGCAAAGCCAATGAAGCGCTGCACCTCCTTTACCGTGGTTGGAGTCGGCCAATTACGCACGGCTGAAATGCGGTCTCCCTCCATCTCCATACCTGAGGTGGTAATGTGGTATCCGAGGAAGGAGACAGATTGTTGGAAGCACAGACACTTTTCTGCCTTGGCATATACAGTGAGGGAAAAAAGTATTTGATCCCCTGCTGATTTTGTATGTTTGCCCACTGACAAAGACATGATCAGTCTATAATTTTAATGGTAGGTTTATTTGAACAGCGAGAGACAGAATAACAACAAAAAAATCCAGAAAAACGCAAGTCAAAAATGTTATAAATTGATTTGCATTTTAAAGAGGGAAATAAGTATTTGACCCCTCTGCAAAACATGACTTAGTACTTGGTGGCAAAACCCTTGTTGGCAATCACAGAGGTCAGACGTTTCTTGTAGTTG